TGGACATGAGTTTGAGTGAACTCCAGGAGTTGGTTATGGACAGAGAGGCCTGGAGTGTTGCGATTCATGGGGTCTCAAAGAGTTGGACACGACTGAGCGACTGAACTGAACTGAGTCTAATTGTACAATCAGAGCTTAGTCTAGATGTCATCCAACTATGTGAACACAGTTTGGTCTGATATCTTAAGTCAATTAGGATTCAGCATTAACAGAACTAAACAGTTTTAAAAACAAAGTATATCAGTTAGGAATACACTCAACTTTGAGGAACAGAAAACTAAAGAATAGTGGCTTAAACAAGTATGGGACTTACATTTCCACAGAATAAGAAGCCCAGATATAGGTGGTCCAATGTTGATGAAGTTACTCAAGAATGTCATTGATGAATAAAGTCCATGCATTTGCCTGCTTCATCATCCTTAACACAAGCCTTTGCCCTTATGATTGCAATACAGTTGCTACCTCACCAGAAATCAAGTCCCAGCTTCAGGGAGGGATAAGGGCAAAGGACAAAGCTGTCTGCTCATGAAGCTTTGCTTTATTTTTTTCCAAAAAGATATAGAAAACAAATGTAGGAATACCAAGGGGGGAAGGAAAGGGGATAAATGGAGGTTGGGATTGACATATATATACTGATATGTATAAAGTAGATAACTGATGAGAATCTACTATATTGCACAGGGTGGGGGGAGAAAGTAAGATCTGTTTGTAGGACATATATTATGTTAACCTTAAAAATACCTTCCAATATACGGTGAAAAGTGAAAGTCAAGTCATTCAGTCATGTCCAACTCTTTGCGGCCCCATGGACTGTAGCCTACCAGGCTCCTCCATCCATGGGATTTTCCAGGCAAGAGTACTAGAGCAGGTTGCCATTTCCTTCTCCAGGAGAACTTCCAGGGATTGAACCCGGTCTCCCGCATTGTAGGGAGATGCTTTACCATCTGAGCTACCAAGGAAAGTCAGTAAGTGCAGACAAATACTATTTGATGCCACTTATACAAGGTCCTTAGAACAGTCAAATTCAGAGTCAGGAAATACAGTGGTAGATGCCAGACATGGGGGTAGAGGGTGGCAAGGTGAGGAGGGGGAATGGGGACTTAGTGTTTATTGGGGACAGTTTCAGTTTAGGAATGAAAAAATCCAGGAGATGAATGATTGTGAGAGTTGCACAACAAAATGAATGTGCTAGTACCACTGAGTTGTACAGTAAAATATGGTTAAAATAGTTACGTGACTTTTATCTCAATAAAAAAAAGTACATTTAAAACTTTAAAAAGAAAGAAAGCCCTCCCCAGGCATTTCTGACTACATCTCATTGGCCAGAATTGCATGTCATGACCAACCCTAACCACAGGGAAGGCTGACAATTCAAATACTTATCCTTATAGTCTGCATAGAAGAGAACATCAAGAAAGAAACTGAAAGGATGTGGAGTGATTTAACCTTTAATACTTTAATAACTGCCTCAGAAGGGAACCTAGGGTTTCAGGGAAAATTACGTATATTTTGATGAAAATATAAATATGTATTTATTCTAAATCTATATAACACAAATAAATATATTTCTATATTTTATATAAAATGTATTATTTTTAATATTAATTTAAATTTTAATATTTCTCCCTGAGGTTGCTCAGGGAGAAGATGTTCTGGTACGTTCTGGGTGGGGGGTGCTTGACAGTGCTGAGTATCACTAGCACCGAAAGTAATAAATGTTATCCTTCTTTTCTATCATGAATATGAATAACGCTCTGAAGGCTGAATGCAACCTAAGAATTTATGTGAGAAATGAGGCATGAAACATTTTTGAAAATATATTAGCCCAAAGTCTGTATTACGGCATATTTTATACCCTTTTCAATATGCTACAAAAGGTTTGAGCCATCAACTGAATGCTGCCAGAAAAGAACAAACAAGAACAAGGATACAGAAATAAATGCTGGGAGTCAAGTTACTCCGAGATGTTCTTTATGGTCGTTATAATGATCTCAGGACCAGGCAGTCGGTTTTGCTTCAAACTCTCCCCATTAGCACTTCTTCTGCAAGCCTGGTTCTCCAAAGAATTAATCCCAGGACAAGTAAACAAAAAGCTTCACCAAGAAGTCAGTATTGGGGAAAGCATTACATAAGCATCTTCCCCCGACTCCTGCGACTTGGTTCCTTGTACTTTCTCTTTAATACATCTGAGATCTCATTTTGAGAACGTGAAAGGAGCATGTCTGGTTGAGTGTTTTCTGACTGGAAATTCAGTTAATGTTTAAGTCTTTTATTCTGAATGTTTTTATTATACAAAATATATTTTGTAAGCATGAAGCACAGTAATGATAACTATAATATGTTTTACATCTTATGAACTTTATCTTATGTTAATGATACTCAGTAAAATGGCCAGTTGTATGAAAATATTTACCTTTTTAAGATATTATTCAGTATTTTAATCCTTTCTACTCTTATATAGTTCTAAAAAGCTCTGTAATATAAATGCGTATCATTACTAAAATGTGGAACAAATATCAACTTTGGTTTTCCAGGAGGCCTTGTCTTCCCAGGCCAGTCCTGAGCCAAATTTGGGCTTAAAAAGTAAAAATGGGTGAGACATCAAGTCCGCAGACAAGTGCTCATCAATCATCTGATTCCCAGAATTTCATGGTTCATGTCCTGAGCCTCCTCTGAAAATTCACATAAAAATACTGATTCCTGGACCCCTGACATGATAATTCACTTGAAATGGGGTGTGGCTCAGAAATCTGCATTTTTAACAAATACCCTAAATGAGTCTGATACAGATGGTCCCCAGGCCACACCTGGAGAAACATTGCTTTCATAAGTCATGTGCTCCCGTGATGAGAAGTCACAGTCCGCTAAAATCCATTCCACCTACAGGTCAGTTTTCCCTTCACACCAGAGAATGATTGCTTCTCTCCTTTGTCTTTCAGAGAGTAAGCTGATTCTCCTTTTCCTCAGTTTCAAGGAGTTAATAGATTAATAATTTGCATAGAACTACTTAATATTTAATAATACTCTATTATACTGAAGTATTCTGTCATACAGGAAATGTTATCTAAATTAACTAAGCTCCACTGAATGCCTATTATAAATAAGAAGAGGGATATTAAAGATAGATAAGACCACTCCCCAACTCGCAAATGAAGCTTTCTAGATTAGCTAGTTCCTGCCTGTCTGTCACTGGGTATGAATTCCCTTAACTAATTTTTAGTAATAAACTACATAGTACATTTGAATGGTTACCATTCTAGAAGGTCAATTAAAATTACAAGAAGTTTGGTGTTATAAGGTAAAGATTTATCTTTAACCCTTTCTTCTAAGAATGTTCTACATCATTTTTTTATTTTTAAGAGATGGTTCTATTTCTTTCTTTCTTTCTTTTTTTTTTTTTTTTTACTAAAATCCTAAAGAAGAATGTCTCTGGGCATAAAGCATGTCAGGGGAGCTCTTACTCTAAACCAGTTATTTTTTTCTGGCTATCAGATAATGTTTCACTAAGATACTATATCTGAGGTCTTATCTAAATTTGGGAGGATGAGACTGCATGTTTCAGAAATGATCTGCCAGCTGTGCTTGTGACAGTGCCATTAAGTTCCTGCAAAAAGCAAGAGGAGGAAAGAAAAAAATAAAAGAAGAGAGGAAGGTCTATGGTAACAACTGAATTTTTAAAAACATCTCCAAAACGTCAATCATGAAGGTAAGCTGTTTAATGAAACATCTCATGTAATCCTCGTGACAGCCATGAAATACAGGTTCTTTATAGACTGACTTTACAGATAATGAAAAGTGAGGCAGAGAGAGAGCAGCTACTGCTGCTACTGTCATCTCAGTCGTGTCTGACTCTTTGCGATCCCATGGACTGTGGCCCACCAGGCTCCTCTGTCCATGGGATTCTCCAGGCAAGAATACTGGAGTGGGTTGCCATTCTCTCCTCCAAGGGATCTTCCTGACCCAGGGGTCAAACCCACATCTTCTACACCTCCTGCATTGGCAGGCAGACTGCTTACCACTAGTGTCACCATGAACCTACTAGGGCAAATTAAGATTCAAGCAGAGCTCTGTCTGTTTTTGGAGCTCTCAACCACACGTGGCAGGAGAACCCACTGGTAGATGGACTTTGCAGTAAAGTGTAATTGGGTAGAGCTGCCCTCTTGGGAGCACAGTTCCATGACTCCGGCAGCATCAGAGCAGACAGCAGAAACTGTACTTGATCAGAAGTTATGATCCACTGTCTAAGGGCTTCTGACAGCCTCAGAAATCAGGCTGGCTTTAGAAATTCGAGTTCTCTTTCCTCACCAAAGCAACACCTCCTAATTCATGTGCTACATATCCTCTGCCTATTGATCAATCCACTGCACTGAGGAAGGTCAGTTCTAAATTTTCTAATAAAACCGTCAGAATGGTTAAAGAGAACTCTGTGGCTGTCAGAAAAACATCAAAAATCAACATGATGCCTGCGTTGGCCCTACTGACTCATACATGATTTTTTTTTACAGGGTGAATAATAATTATTTGACTGGTAATTAATGCTATATTATTGTTATTAGGAAGGCCCAAGGTTCAGACATTCTTAATTGCTTGAACTGCTGGGGCTAATTAGTGCAAGCTTTAAAGGAATATGTCAGAAATCACAGAATATGTTTTCATATCAAACATAGAACATGAGGGACATGCCCCTCACTAAAGGTTGCCAGATAGTTCTAAGCACTTAGCACAGGTCTTGTCAGAGAAAATCCCAGTATATTAATTTACCAAGTTCAGAGTTACTTATCAAAAGGCTGTAGTGCATAGTGTTTTGCATAATCAAAGTGGCTTATTAACTCGTCATCGTTTACTTTTTTCATTTATATTCCAATTCACAGAGACATAGTCATATCAATTACAAAACTAAATACAAAATAGCTACAAGTCTAAGTACTGTATACTGTGTAAACATCAATAACAAGATGATTTTCACAAAGTGCTATGTAAATGTTGATTATTCACATTACCTGATAAGAAATACCTTGTAGTTTTTTTCCTTGAAGAGTATGTGTATGATGACTCGGAAGAAAGTCATCTTCATTTAGATCTATGAAAAGAGGTGTTATATGGAGATTAGCAGAAATTACACAATTTGAGAAGTTTAAGTGCACTTGAATACTTATATTTTTCTTTAGTCTATTAAGGCATTTTATTGACTAGACCATAAATATTTACTTTCCTAAAGATATGCTGTCCTTCACAAACAGATGGAGAAATATACCGTGTTCATGGATTTGAAGAATCAATACTGTCAAAATGACTATACTACCCAAAGCAATCTATAGATTCAATGCAATCCCTATCAAGCTTCCAACAGTATTTTTCACAGAACTAGAACAAATAATTTCACAATTTATATGGAAATATGAAAAACCTCGAATAGTCAAAGTAATCTTGAGAAAGAAGAATGGAACTGGAGGAATCAACCTGCTTGACTTCAGACTATAGTACAAAGCCACAGTCATCAAGACAGTATGGCACTGGCACAAAGACAGAAATATAGATCAACGGAATAGAATAGAAAGCCCAGAGATAAATCCATGAACCTATGGACACCTTATCTTTGACAAAGGAGGCAAGAATATACAATGGAAAAAAGACAACCTCTTTAACAAGTGGTGCTGGGAAAACTGGTCAACCACTTGTAAAAGAATGAAACTAGAACACTTTCTAGCACCATACACAAAAATAAACTCAAAATGGATTAAAGATCTAAATGTAAGACCAGAAACTATAAAACTCCTAGAGGAGAACATAGGCAACACACTCTCTGACATAAATCACAGCAGGATCCTCTATGACCCACCTCCCAGAATATTGGAAATAAAAGCAAAAATAAACAAATGGGACCTAATTAAACTTAAAAGCTTTTGAACAACAAAGGAAACTATAAGCAAGGTGAAAAGACAGCCCTCAGAATGGGAGAAAATATTAGCAAATGAAGCAACAGACAAAGGATTAATCTCAAAAATATACAAGCAACTCCTGAAGCTCAATTCCAGAAAAATAAATGACCCAATCAAAAAATGGGCCAAAGAACTAAACAGACATTTCTCCAAAGAAGACATATAGATGGCAAAAAAACACATGAAAAGATGCTCAACATCACTCATTATCAGAGAAATGCAAATCAAAACCACAATGAGGTACCATTATACGCCAGTCAGGATGGCTGCTATCCAAAAGTCTACAAGCAATAAATAAATGCTGGAGAGGGTGTGGAGAAAAGGGAACCCTCCTACACTGTTGGTGGGAATGCAAACTAGTACAACCACTATGGAGAACAGTGTGGAGATTTCATAAAAAACTGGAAATAAAACAGCCATATGACCTAACAATACCACTTCTGGGCATACACACCGAGGAAACCAGATCTGAAAGAGACACGTGTACACCAATGTTCATCACAGCCCTGTTTATAATAGCTAGGACATGGAAGCAACCTAGATGCCCATCAGCAGATGAATGGATAAGGAAGCTGTGGTACATATACACCATGGAATATTACTCAGCCATTAAAAAGAATTCATTTGAATCAGTTCTAATGAGATGGATGAAACTGGAGCCCATTATACAGAGTGAAGTAAGCCAGAAAAATAAAGACCAATACAGTATACTAATGCATATATGTGGAATTTAGAAAGATGGTGACAATAACCCTATATGCAAAACAGAAAAAGAGACACAGATGTATAGAACAGACTTTGGGACTCTCTGGGAGAAGGTGAGGGTGGGATGTTTCGAAAGAACAGCATCAAAACATGTATATTATCAAGGATGAAACAGATCATCCAGCCCAGGTTGGATGCATGAGACAAGTGCTCAGGGCTGGTGCACTGGGAAGACCCAGAGGGATCAGGTAGAGAGGGAGGTGGGAGGGGGGATCAGGATGGGGAATACATGTAAATCCATGGCTGATTCATGTCAATGTATGACAAAAACCACTACAATATTGTAAAGTAATTAGCCTCCAACTAATAAAAATAAATGGAAAGAAAAAAAAATTAGATTTGCAATTCAGGGTTTTGTTCTCATTGCCTAATCTTGTACCTTAATATTGTATTATGATAAAAGTTCATCACCAACCCCCCCCCCCAAATGCTGTTCTTATAAGAAACAAGTCAAAATTAAATAGAAATTAAACAAAATAAAAATGAAGAATGTGTCTGACCAGTTGTGTCTGACCAGTTGAGCAAGTCATGAAATTTTTATGGGACTCAGTTTCCCCCCATCCCATTTTATAAAACAGTAGCATCCAAGCTACTAAACCACTTCTGACTCCAAAATGCTATGATTTCATGAAACTCTCACCTCACTTGTTTCTGTTAAACTGAGCTTTCCATCCCTGGCATTTTGAGCTTCATTAGCTTATGTCTTCTCAACATGAATTATTTATGCTAAAATTCTTCTCTGCCTGCTTTGGTAAAAGCTTTGGAATGTGTCATCCATTTGCTTGCAGCTAAATGAAACCTTTTCAAAAGACAGTAGCATTCCCTTTCAGGCCCTGCACAAGGGGTCCATTTATTTAAATCTGAAATACACCATGTGCTAAAAGAAGACAGGACTTCATGGATCACTTAATCCAAACCTGCTGGTTTACAGATGGGGATACTGAGACCCACAGAAGTCACCTAGCAATCAGTCCAGTGATTTCTTTTATCACTTTTACTCTGTTTTACTTCCAGTCACCACTTCAATTTTCTACTATTTTTCATTCTTACATTCTTCAAGGGAGGAAGGGACAGGCAAGACCTATCCTCTATGCAGAAAATAGGAGAAAATTTTCCCTCAAATTCTCATTATAGCTATGGTTATAAGATAAGGTAAATTCACAGCTCAGTCTCAGAGTTATTTACACCAATAAGTTAATATTTTACATCTGAGTTACCACACTACAGGGTTCCAGAAAACACTGAAATTTTAAAATGAGCTGGTTTTGTGATCTAGCTCTTTAAAGCAAGATCTTCCATCACAGGGTCAAGAAGCTAGAAGCAGAGTTTTTATAGCCTTTTAAGTTTCTGTACTTGGAAAAAAAAATATTCTTTTCTCTATCCCTTTATTCCTTTTCATTGCCTTTCTTTTTCTGATCCCTTTAACCTGAATTTTGGAGAGCTCCCTCTACAATTCTTCGGGGTGCAGGAAAAGAAAGTGAGGTAGGTTCCTGTACTCTTGAATCTGGAAGTCTGTGAGTGAGAAATGTGCACAGTGTATTTACCTCCCTTATATACAGGGCAAGGCAGTAAAATAAGTGACTCAGACACTACTGTGGGGAGAGAACACTATGCCCCACTGTACTCATGGAAGAGGCAGGGTCTCTGTGGGCTTGAAGAATGGAGACAGTCTGGAAACAGAGAAGAAAAGTACAAGTTACAGACACAACAGCAATGCTGTCAACACTAACCTATAGTGTGGAATAAGAGCAACAGGCTTAATTTAAAGTAAGATTTGAGATAGGTCACATCAGAAGGCAATTATGGATACTGTCCAGGAGGAGGTGAGGCTGGGTGGGTGAGGAAGGCCAAATGGTAATGGGCCTTGAGTGCTATAGGCAAAGAAATGTGGACATAACCCTCTAGGCCAATGTTGCAGAAACACATACCAACAGAAGGCAAATAAGTAATTTAACTAAATGAAACGAATTTTGACAAGGAGACATGTGGAGGTCTGTGGTGAGGTGAAGGTCCACCATTGCTAATGGGCAGCCATTGTTCTCAGCTCTCTCAACTGAAATCACCTCAGATGTTGAACCAAGAATTGACAATTTGTTCCTCATGTTTTTCAAGAATAAATATATGAATTTTAAGGTAAAATTTCCTGATTTTGAAAATATTGTCTGACCTAAACAAACTTTTTCTTAAAATACTTTTATTTGTAAAGCTACCCATGTGTAGCCTCAGCTTAAAAATTGGGAGAATTTGAGGGCTTTGAATTAAGAAAAGGACACCAGGACAATGGCATTTTATGAAGATTAGCTATTTGTTTTGTAACCTTATACATTTTCTGTATTTGTTATCATCCATATGTTGCATCTGTGTGTGCTAAGTCGCTTCAGTCATGTCTGACTCTTTGGGACCCTATGGACTGTAGGCCACCGGGCTCCTCTGTTCTTGGGATTTTCCTGGCTAGAATACTGGAGTGGGTTGCCCTGCCTTTCTCCAGGGGATCTTCCTGCCCCAGGGAAGGAAACTACATCTCTTTTGCCTCTTGCACTGGCATGTGTATTCTTTACCACTAGTGCCACCTAGGAAGCCCTAACTCCCAAATGTTACCCTACCAAAAAAAAAAATTATAAAGATAATATAAGATAATTTGGTCCTAAGTATCAACAAACGTAATAACTGAATAAGGAAATATGGAAGTTATAGTTTCCAAAGACAGACACAACAGTATGTTGTTCTCAGTGTGACCTTGGCATGCCTCCACCAAGAAATAGAATTTAATTCTCCTTCTATTGAATTGAACTGGCTATAATGATCTATTTGTCAGAGGAGAATGCAGCCAAAATTATATTTTGTAACCTCCAAGTCTGGGTCAGAAGAAGCTGGCAGCTTCTACCTGGGTCTTCTGTGATGCTCACTCTCCAGACACTTCTTGTGTGATGCATGAAGCTCCCTCTGGTGTCTCTCCCTCTTGAAACCCAGCCTTTAGCCTGGGAAAACCTCAAGCCTACATGGAGACGCCACATATTGGTTCTCAGGTGATTGTCCCAGCTGAGCCCAACCTGCAGTTATCCCAGACAGGTACCCAACATGTAAGTGAAGAAACCTCTAGATGCTTCCGGCCATCAGACATGTAAGTCCTCCTCAAGTAGTCATGTACCAATGTGAGAGATGGAACAAAAAAGAAAGCTGGGCACTGAAAAATTGATGTCTTCCAATTGCAGTGCTGGAGAAGACTCTTGAGAATCCCTTGAACAGCAAGAAGATCAAACCAGTCATTCCTGAAGGAAATCAACCCTGAATATTCACTGGAAGGAATGATGCCAAAACTCCAATCCTTTGACCTCCTGATGAGAAGAGCTAACTCACTGGAAAAGACCCTGATGCTGGGAAGGATTGAGGGCAGGAGAAGAAGGGGGCGACAGAGGATGAGATGGTTGGATGGCATCATCAACTCAATGGACATGAGTTTGAGCAAACTCTGGGAGATGGTGAAGGACAGGGAGGCCTGGTGTGCTGCAGTCCATGGGGTCACAAAGAGTCAGACATGACTGAGGGACTGAACAATAGCAACAACAGCCATTTAAGACTTCCTGAAAGAAAAGACCCTGATGCTGGGAGGGGTTGGGGGCAGGAGGAGAGGGGACGACAGAGGATGAGATGGCTGGATGGCATCACCGACTCGATGGATGTGAGTTTGAGTAAACTCCAGGAGTTGGTGGTGGACAGGGAGGCCTGGCGTGCTGCAATTCATGGGGTCGCAAAGAGTTGGACACGACTGAGAGATTGAACTGAACTGAACTGAACTGAAAAGAAGCCTCAGATGTTGTGAACTGCTACTTTGACTGAATCCCTGACTTGCAAAATCTATGAGTCTAATGAAATTTTGCTTTATGTCGTTAAGGTTTGGGTTGGTTGGTTTGTAGCAGTAGATTATCTGCACATGCATGGACTACATAGCAGTCACAAATGTCAGTATACTTAAAAATGTATCTTTCAGCATAAACATTCAGATTCCAACTCTCCTTCAAATGCAGATGCAGAAAAAAAAAGGGGGATTTGGTTAAAAAAGCAATATCTCTACTCAGCTTCTAGGTGATTCTAATGGAAATTAGACTTCTGACCTTACTCAGGTAACTCTAATCCTAGTAAGAACTCTCCTAAAGAATGGAAAGGATTCCAAGATTCTTTTGTACAAAACACTAAATCTCAGAATGTTCACATTCAATTCAGATAGACTTCCTTAAAATTAAGAGACTGGTTTTGCAGGCAACCTTTGCTCTGGAAGTTTATTTACACATAGCACACAGACAGACATTCAGGTGTGAAATCAGGTTTCTCTCTGTCATTCCTCACATAGGCCAGTCTAATCTGAGTTAAATCACATGCTCTTGGGAAATAATGTCTCAATCAAATTGTGGTTCCTGAAAATTACCCAGAATGGTAAACACACTTGTGACTATATACATTTATTATCTTGAAAATGAGGATAACATGCCAATAAAGAAGGCTTAATAAGATCCAGAGAAGTTCAGCCAAAGTATTTATATGCTTGCTGGCCAAATAATGATACTGACTACAATTCAGGAAAGAATATTTCAAGCAAATGGCAATTCCAGTGTTAAACTGGAAGGTCCTAATGTCTCTACCAATGGGATTTTTATAATGAATCTCATCAAAATCATATGTAAATTATTAAAGATAATTTTGCAGTAGTATGAGTGGAGTTAATTCTCCTTTCATTACTAAACGTATTTCCTGAATGTATCCAGCTTCTTACAAACTTTACAAAAATATACCATTTTTTTAAAACATATTTTCTGTTTCATTCATGGTATAGTCTACCAAATCACACTGTTTGAAAAAAAATCTCTAAATCTGCAAATATGTTTTGTTTCTTTTATCTTTTTTTAAAATTTGGCTTTGTTTTTGTTCTTTGTACTTTTTTGGTATAAGATAATGAAAGCCCTTTTCTAAAAAATGTCTTTACTTAAATCATAATTTGATCTTGGGTAAATTCCAAAGCATAGATTTCAAAAAGTCAATTTTTTTCAGGCTTTTTCCCCCCATAAAATTAAGGCCAAAATATATTTAAAAAATTTTTTTAATCGATCTTAGTTTACTAAAATGAATATTACTAATATTCTGCCTGTTTAGAGTGCTGAAAATAAAACAACAAACAAAATTACTGATTAGTTTCCCTTAATTAATTGGCTAAGCTATGCCAATCTTTCAGTTGTAAAGTCCTGAGCATTCAATTTAACCCACATGTATTTTACAGATGTTGTCTCAGTATCACATATACAGATTGAGATAAAAGTATTCTTAGAAGAAGGAAATGGACCACATCAGCTGAAAATACTTCCAGCTCTTAACTTATTGTGATAAATTTTTATCTTAACCAACATAACACAGTCATATTTTTGGGTTATGTGAATATCTTTATGGATTAAAATACCAGGCACAAATCCTTAGCTTAATATTAACATAACCTGTGGAAGTGTATTTTGTCAGGCCCAATACTCTAGAGGACTAAATTTTTGCTGTTAATATAACTTGTATCATATGGAAATATCATTTTGTAATTGAAATTGAGAGAAATGGAACTTTTTTGGTTCTTGGAGTTTATAACTTATTCTTTATGTTAATGTCACTCTTAAAATTTCCCTACATATTTTCTTCTGTTTTATTGAAAGATGACTTTTACAATTTCATCTTTAGTGTTCAATAAAATCATGGACTGTGGATGATGGCAATGATGTACCTATCTGTCTTCATCTCAGTAAACCTCACAGACTGCCTATCCTCAGGCCCAATAAACCACTTTTAAGTAATTATTCAGTTAACAGCAAAAAATAGTGTTTAAAATGAGAAAGAAATACTATAGGTTGATATGTAGGGCACTAATTGCTTAGAAATATTCTGAGCCTTCCAAAGGAAACTACTACACCCATAAAATTCAAGTCCACACTTGTGGCTCATCCTATCCTACTAAATTTCTCCCTTCAATTTACAATGGCACCAGCATTAGTCCCTAGGCAATGTCCTATGACTCAGCTGGTACTGCTGAAATGTCAACTGAACTTCTTAGGTGCATTCGTGAGTGTGTGTGTGTGTGTGTGTGTGTGTGTGTGTGTGCGTGCGTGCACAGACAGATTGAACACAGGAGCACTTAAGAATCTGAGAAATTTCAAAGTGGAAAAGTCTGTAAAGGCTTTCCTTTTTGTTCTCTGACAAAGAGATCACTAATCAGAAAACACCTCACCTTTGGCCAAGATTTTTTGCTGCTTTGTCAATATAACTGTAATAGAATTCCTTACCTATGACTGCTAAATTTAAAACAAACACCACACCATTTCACAGAAAGGAAGTTTAAGAAAATAGAATACTTGAAGAGGTTTATGGAAAAATTCATAACAAAAATATTCTATAATATAGTTACAACTTATTCATAGGTTTATGTGGAATAATCTAAAAGTAACCTGTGCTTATTACAGAGATGGATGAATGAATGGATGGGTGGATGAAGGTTTAATTAACTAACCAAGGTGTGAATGAATATCACTAACATTTATGAGGTAAAGACAGAAGTTAATCAAACACAATATAAGTAAAACATTGCCTATCTTATAATTTTTAAAAAATGTCTAAAATAATTCCCAAATGCTTCACTTATTTATTTATTTAGAATGGAGAAATCTATAAGCATTGAAATTAAGTTCAAAACTATTCACTAGAACATTATTCAATCTAGGATAAAATTGAAATAGTTCAAAGGAAAATGATTATTTTCATAAACAATTACTTTGTAAATCTGTGAGCTCCTTCATAGCACTCAAAAGGCAAAATTTGAACAATCATACCATGTAACTTGTAACTATAAAAATATTTGTCCCCAAATATTAAAATATCTTTTAAAATTAAATTTAAAATTCAAATTAAATTTAAAAATACAAATAGTTAAATAATCAATAACTAATATGAGCAATTATTTATTCCATTAACATTGAAGGAAAATACCAAGGATATTAATTTTTTATGTTCTTGCCCATCTTTGTGAACTCTTAAGACTTTCTGTTTTATTCGTAATCTTTCCAAAGTTAAGTAATTTTAATTATGGAATCATTTATTATTAATAAAGTTTCTTATACCTGGCTGCTAATTGGCTCTTCTTCAGATTTTTTTAAATAAAATGACATGGTTTTGCATTAATAGTCAAGGGTATTTCTCTTAAATATTTAAAGAAAATCTAAAAATCACAAAGGTTAATATATCAATGTTATTTTTAGAAGGTTTTACTATGTGCTGAGTTTTAATATATTTTTGCATTATTTTAGACATTAAAGTATTTCAAATTTTTTGTAACTGATTCTTTGCTTCAACAGGGAACTTAATTAAATTCTACTTACCTTCTGCATGTCTGTTCACCTACACACACAAGTATATATTCTATTAATAATATACACATTCTATTCTATTAGTTTTTTCTTTTTAAGTAGACCATAATGCAATGCTTGTTTTAATGAAGAAAGATGTAAAGTTTTCTTACTTGCCCTTTATACTACTTTGGGAAAATGCAAAGTCAGTGGGAACTAAATTTAGCAATTACCTTTGAGCTGACAGAGTCTTCTGATGTGGGAGTCATTCTCAGACTTGCTGGGTTCCTGCCAAATTGTGTCATTCACAGTTTTTCCCTCTAAAGTAAAGCAGAAGATTGGTTAAAAGAAGTCACAGTAACATCTGTCCAGTAAGTGTAGAAAATTTGATATCAAAACAAATTGAGCACACAGTGGTAACATGGTAAGTAATATGTTAAGAAAGCTTTGTGGTCCATTCTGGAGAGTTCTGGTCCCTCATGAATACAATGTCCAGTGGGCTCCCATTTTTTTTTTTTCCTATGAACTAAGTAAGGACCCCCACGTAGATAGTAGAAGGTTGCTACTGAAATACTCTTGATAAACTTTTGATTACATTATTCTTGGAGTATTTTTCTTGAATTAATAACCATTTTTTTTTTTATATATCAAAGTAGCTCCATCCTCCACATTCTTCATTCTTTTTAACAAAATGGTTAAGGAAGTATATCGAGAGAACACTGAGCTATTTAAAGAAACTCTAAGATCCTTGACTGGGAGAACAATCATTTTCTTCTAAGTGTTAGCTTTGTTCTCCCAACACCTGGAGCAGGTCTACTCATGCTGTAACGAACTGAACTGGGCCAGGATGAAGAACTGGAAGCCCTTCTAGTGAATGTCGCTCCGTCATGTCTGACACTTTGAGACCCCATGGACTCTGCAGTCCATGAATTCTCCAGCCAGAACACTGGAGTGGGTAGCCATTCCCTTCTCCATGGGATTTTCCCACCCCAGGGTTTGAACCCAGGTCTTTTGCATTGCAGGAGGATTCTTTACCATCTGAGCCACAAGGGAAGACCAAGAATACTAGAGTGGGTAGCCTAACCTTTCTTCATGGGATCTTCCCAACCCAGGAATCCAACTGAGGTTTCCTGCATTGCAGGCAGATTCTTTACCAGCTGAGCTACCAGGGAAGCCTGGAAGCCCTTCTAACCTACTTACAAAGACTAATCATCCCACATGTTGTACCACATCATTGATAAAGCAAGTTTAAATAATGTAACCAAAGTATTACACAAACTCAGCATGCTGGGCTGGTTTTTATTAGAGTGTAATTGCTGTGGTATTGGAGAAGACTCTTGAGAGTCCCTTGGACTGCAAGGAGATCCAACCAGTCCATCCTAAAGGAGATCAGTCCTGGATGTTCACTGGAAGAACTGATGCTGAAGCTGAAACTCCAATACACTGGCCACCTCATGAGAAGAGTTGACTCATTGGAAAAGACCCTGATGCTGGGAGGGATTAGGGGCAGGAGGAGAAGGGGACGACAGAGGATGAGATGGCTGGATGGCACCACCGACTCGATGGACATGAGTTTGAGTAAACTCCAGGAGTCAGTGATGGACAGGGAGGCCTGGCCTGCTGCGGTTCATGGGGTCACAAAGAGTCGGACACGACTGAGCGACTGAGCTGAACTGAACTGAATTGCTGTACAATGCTGTGCTTGATCTGCTGAACGATGAAGTGAATCAGCTATATGTATACACATATCCTTTCTCTCTTGGACCTCCCCAGCCCCATCCCCCCATCTAAGCTCTCTGCGCTATACAACAGCTTCCCGCTAGGTATCTATTTCACATGTGGCAGTGTGTGTAGATAGGTCACTGCTACTCTCCCCATCCTTCCCACTCTCCCCATCCCCTGTGTTCTGTCCACAAGTCAGTCCTCTTGCTGTGCTGGTTTTTTTTTTTTCCATTTATTTTTATTAGTTGGAGGCTAATTACTTTACAGTATTGTAGTGGTTTTTGTCATACATTGACATGACTCAGCCATGGATTTACATGTATTTCCCATCCCGATCCCCCCTCCCACCTCCTGTGCTGTTTTTAAAGTCACTATTTGCTTTGATATTTGACCGAGAGAAGGCAGGTGATCCTCAAAAATTATGTTATAGAGTCTTGTGTGCAGAAACTGAATACTATGTAAATGGCATATATAAATAGAAAATAAAAGTTGGCCTACTTCCTTTTATTTCAGGCCACACACTATTCAAATCAGGGCTGACATTCAAGATATTTAGCAACTAGTGCTCACAGGGTCTTGACAAATGAGCTATAACTCAGCTCCTGTGGATATTACCACTGGTGGAATATCAGACCTCATTAAAATGCAGATGTCCTTAGTAGATGCATTCATAAATGATCACCACTTTGGCCTGAGCACTTTTCATACCCTATCCAGGAAACTGGCTTTGAAAAGAGGGAAAATTGGGTTTGAGTATCCAACTCCTAAGCCCTGCTGGAGAGAAAGTATGCCTACCACTCTGAAAAACTGCATAAAAAATGAATTATTGAGTGAATAAACCAGTTGTCTTGACACTGCAAATGTTTTATAATTAGTGGCCCCCTATCATCTATATGGAAAAGAGAGGTATCATCTATTAACTTCCTAAAAATAATTAGATTTTTGCTTCAGAATCTGCCTGCAATGCGGGAGTCCCAGGAGACTTGAGTTCGATCCTTGGGTTGGGAAGATCACCTGGATGAGGGCCTAGCAACGCACTACAATATTCTTGACTGGGGAATCCTATGGACAAAGGAGCCTGGTGGGATATAGGGTCACAAAGAATTGCACAACACTGAAGTGACTTAGCATGCACAAGAATTAAAATTACTCTGTTATTACTATGTATACTGTAACCACAGAAACTGAAGAAAATTGCTGGTACTTGAGATGCTATGATAAGTCTTTTATAATTCAACCATTGTTTATTTCATTCCTAAATTCCTAGCTATAAAAATATAGCTAAGAGATCACCTTGACTATGGGCCCTCCAAGCTAAAGTTGGGAAACTGGAAGGTAATCAGCCAATAAACCAAAAAGAGGAGTTTTTTTTGTTTGTTTGTTTTTTAGTATAAAAGGAGATTATTCTGAATAAGACAATGGTTTATTTGTCTTCAGTTCAGACCAGTTGCTCATTTGTGTCTGACTCTTTGTGACCCCATGGACTGCAGCACGCCAGCCTTCCCTGTCCATCACCAGCTCCCAGAGCTTGCTCAGATTCATGTCCATCAAGTCAGTGGTGCCATCCAACCATCTCATCCTCTGTCGTCCCCTTCTCCTCCTGCCTTCAATCTTTCCCAGTATTAGGGTCTTTTCCAATGAGTCAGTACTTCACATCAGGTGGCCAAAGTATTAGAGTTCCAGCTTCAGCATCAGTCCATCCATTGAATATTCAGGACAGATTTCCCTTAGGATTGACTAGTTTGATCTTCTTGCAGCCCAAGCGACTTTCAAGAGTCTTCTCCAACACCAAAGTTCAAAAACATCATTTCTTTGGTGCTCAGCTTTCTTTATAGTCCAACTCTCACATCCATACCTGAGTACTGGAAAAACCATAGATTTGACTAGACGAATTTTGTTAGCAAAGTAATGTCTCTGTGTTTTAATATGCTGTCTAGGCTGGTCATAGCTTTTCTTCCAAGGAGCTAATGTCTTTTAGTTTCATGGCTGCAGTCACCATCTGCAATGATTTTGAAGCCCAAGAAAATAAAGTCTCTTACCATTTTCACTGTTTCCCCATCTATTTGCCATGAAGTGATGGGACTGTATGCCATAATCTTAGTTTTTTGTGTTGAGGTTCAAGCCAGCTTTTTCACTCTCTTCTTTCACTTTCATCAAGAGGCTGTTCAGTTCCTCTTTGTTTTCTGCCATTTGGATCGTGTCATCTGCATGTCTGAGGTTACTGATATTTCTCCCTGCAATCTTGATTCCAGCTTGTGCTTCATCCAGCCCATCATTTTGCATGATGTACTCTGCATATAAGTTACATAAGCAGGGTGACAACACACAGCCTTGAAATACTCTTTTCTCAGTTTGGAACCAGTCCATTCTTCCATGTCCGGTTCTACTGTTGCTTCTTGACCTTCATAGAGATTTCTCAGGAGGCAGGTAAGGTGGTCTGGTATTCCTATTTGTTGAAGAATTTTCCAGTTTGTTGTGATCCACACAGTCAAAGGCTTTGGTGTATTCAATAAAGCAGAAGTAGATGCTTTTCTGGAACTCTTGCTTTTTCTATGATCTGATGGATGTTGGCCATTTGATTTCTGGTTCCTCTTCCTTTTCTAAATCCAGCTGGAACATCTGGAAGTTCTCCGTTCATACACTGTTGAAGCCTAGCTTTTAGAATTTTGAGCATTACTTTGATAGCATGTGAGATAAATGCAATTTTGCAGTAGTTTGAACATTCTTTGGCATTGCCTTTTTGGGATTGGAATGAAAACTGATCTTTTCCAGTCCTGTGGCCACTGCTGTTTTCCAAATTTGCTGTCTTATTGAGGATAGCACTTTCACAACATCATCTTTTAGGATTTGAAATAGCTCAACTGCAACTCCATCAGCTCCACTAGCTTTGTTCATAGTGATGCTTCCTAAGGCCCACTCGCCTTCAGGATGTCTGGCTGTAGATGAGTGATCACACCATTGTGGTTATCTGGGTCATTAAGTTTTTTTTTTTTTTTGTATAGTTCTTCTGTGTACTCTTGCCACTTCTTAATATCTTCTGCTTCTGTTAGGTCCATACTGTTTCTGTCCTTTATTGTTCCCACCTTTGCATGAAGTGTTCCCTTGGTATCACTAATTTTCTTGAAGAGATCTCTAGTCTTTCCTATTCTATTGTTATTTTTCATAGCCATTTAAAATTAGAATAAAACTGCATTTCTTTTTTAAATCTCTTCTATATAATTCAAAGACAAATCAATTTGTCTTTCATTCATCACTTTCTGTTACTTTATGGCATTAACAGAAGAAAATCACTCTTAGAGAAACAGAATGTATCATGTGCATGAGTAATCTTATGAATTACTAACCAAATACTTTACTTTCAGACATAGATCTCCGGATTGACCTAGAAGAATAAAAGAAACAGATATTTAGGTCTAGATTTAATAAATTATATTTTAAGTGAAATAGAAATTAGATCGCTTCTTAGACATGAGTGCAAAGCCTTGGTGAGCAGAAATAAATTCTACCTCTAAGTAAGTTCTACATTTGGACCTGAATTTTCCTGAACCTAGATGACAAAGTATAGTTAATCAAAGTATAACCTTGGATTGGAAATTTTCATGCAATATAAAGAAACATTCACAAATCAGCACCCCCAACCCTGCAAAGAATGAACAATGGGCCATTCTATACGAATGTACCTCAAAATAATCAAATAGTTCTTCTTAAAATAATTATATTCAATAAATACAGAAAAATATTGCAATTTGAATACAATCACTATACAATCCCTGATAAAACAATAAATCTGTGTAATAATTGTCAACTGCAATTAAAGTTTTTAATTGAAAGGCTGATGGGCAACTTGTGCTGGATGGATCAGTCTGATACCATCTGAACTTACTAAGCAACTTCATAGTCATAAAAATAGAGACAAGCAGATATATGAGCTTCCCATGTAAAGCAACAGGAATTATACAGTCACTGATGACCTACTTTAAAAATAAATAGATAGACAGAAATAACTTGAATGTTATCAAGCCTTGTGAGACTTTAATCTTATCAAGACTGGAGATCTGACTAAACATTTACAGTAAACAGAACAGAGAGCATGTGTTTAAAACACACACACACAGGATGTAATCAGTAAAATTCAAAACTAGGAAAATTTCTCAGAAAGAACAATTCAATTTTTTCAACAAATATATAGGAAAAGAGACCTATAAATTAAGAAACATGAACAAAATGCACTGCATGAGGCTTCTTTGGATCACGATTCAAATCAACCAGCTACTATTAAAAAAAGCATTTGAGGTTACCAGAGACATTTTAACACTGACTCTAAACTTGGTGATATTAGGTTATTTTCTTATTTTGTTCTAGTGCACTAATTATGTTTTTTTTCTAAATGTGACGTTGTGGTTATGCTTTTAAAAATGATTCTTGTTTTTTAATGATATAGTGGAAAATGAAATTGTATGTCTGAGAAATGCTTTATAAAAACCCCAGTGCAGATGGTGGGAATGGTGAGTCAGGTGGATAGAAATGAAATAAGATTGACTATAAATTGACATTTGATTGTGTTAGTCAATTTACACTTTGGGTGAACATAAGCATATCGTGTATGTATACACAATTTTGTTATAACTGGAGTGTTTTCCATTATTCACCTTTTTTAAGCTCAGGGTTGTAAGCAAAATCCTGCATATTGAGTGTTTCTTTTTTCTTAACCATTTTATTTTGGTTTGTTTTCATTTTTTAATGAAAAATAGTTATTCAGAACATCTGTTGGGAAGTAGCAAGTGTTCTGAAAAAAGCTACTTATACTATTATAAAGTGAAGTAGATATATAATGACAGAAGAGATTATTCTTTTTAGGGGAGTGATGGACAAGAGAATTGAGGGACTCAATAAAGTTTTCAACTTTAACTGGTAGGAATTTGAAAAGCATGTTAATTGATTTGGATTATGTTTGAAAAATCCTAGTTTAGTCATCATCGGGTACTTTCCCTCTCATTCATCCTGCTTCTGCCCCTCCATGTTTGGATATCATCTAATCTGTAGAAGCATCAGTCATAAACCAATAGCTGTAATTGATTTGGAACTAGTGAATTCCTTATCCGTGGATAGAATAAACAGTTACAGAGGAGGGGAGACTTTTAAGTCTGAGAAAAGCCCTGATTAAAAAAAAAAAACCTTTATTCCTGCTCATGCTTAAAATGCCACTGATGTAGTTTCAGTAGCTAACTGTGGCTAAAATACAACTACCCTGGCAGGCGCTCTAAGCTGTTAATCATGCAATTACCTACTTACTATGGATGCATTTTATATCCTTACTGGGAGAAAGCTTTTAGCAAGAAAGGGAGGGAAGACTGAAAGTACAAAGTGCTTTGTGGGTGGAGGTGGGGGCAGAGGGAGGTTTGGGGGCTGGTAAGAGCTGTCGAAAAAGACGACATCCAGAAAGAAATTCACATATTGACAGTTTAGTCTCAGACCATTCCGGGGTGCAAGGAAGTCGTTCTTCTGTATCATCAGCAACCAATCTGGAAATTTCCCCATAAACCAACTTCCTGCCACTATGTATTTCCTGCTTATTAGTTAAAAATCCCAGTACCTTATGCAACATGTGTGTGTCGCATCCTCTGGCAGCTTGATGTGCTGAATATAAAGCCAAGCCTGACCTAAATAACCCAAATCTCTTTGCAAACACATTTTTATTTGGATTAGAAGAACTCCAGAAGATTAATAGGTCACCAATAGAAACATGTTTTCGAGTAGGCTTCCACTTTAATCTGAACCTAGTTTAGACACGTTTCTTCTTCTGAAAATTTAATTTTCACATCCTTGTCTACAGCAATGTCACAAACCCAGTTCCCTATGCATCAGCATAAATATAAATGGTAGCAGAGTAAAGTATACCTAGATTGGTACGTGATGATTTTTAAAAAGCACTTTGACAGGAAACCCACTAAAATATTCCATTCAACATTATAGAACTAAGAGAACATAAAGTTTTCAAAGTAAATTTGACTTACTTTCTTTTTGTTTTCCCATTCTCAAAATTAGAAACTTCCTGTAAAATAAAATAAAAAGTAAAATAAAATAATACCCCAAGAAATCAAAAAGATAATTCAAGTATAGTTTATCTTTGGGAATAATCCAAATGGAGTTCACTTTGCCTTTTCCTACTAAAATGACTGTATTTTTAAATATATTTAGTATAATCATGGTTCTAGTTTTCACTTTTTTCTGTATTTGTAACTTTGATACATGTTTACCTTATTCTAAGCCCTTGACAGTTAATAAGCAAATCCTTTAAACAAAAATCTGTAGTTAAATCCTTGTAACCTCAACTTTATATCCTCCATCAACCCTTCAAGACCACATGGAAAGATATATATGAGTATGTTAATTACATTCTCTTCTTTTGAGAAAGATGGACAGTAGCCTACCACAAAACCTCAAGTGTGTAGAAATATACCTGTGATTCATCCAGCCTTTTTCTTCAGAGAAGCTGATGTTATATCCCTTATACCCTGGCAGAAGACAATGTCACCACGTCTTTCACCATCCATCCTTGAAAGGGCTTAAACTGCTTCTAGGCACCTTTAAGAACTCTCTTCAGATTTTCTCTTTATCATTCATCCAGTCCTTCATCCAAAAACCATTTATGTATTTGGTGTTCAAAGTGTTTTTTGAATACCCGTTATATGATAGACAGCAGATCATGTTCTGAAGAATATTGTTTGGTGTGGTAGGAAATTTTATAGCAAAGAATTTGGGAACCAGTATTCCATATCAGGAGGAAAACACAAAAGCTAAGGCTGAAAGGAGTAGTGAACAAAAATCAGAAGGAGGAAAGTTTTTTTTTTAATTAAAGTGTGCTGGATTTACAATATGACATTTGTTTCAAGGATACAGCTTAGTGTTTTTTGCAGATTTTACTCACAATTGGTTTTATTATTCCAGTGCTTGATAGTCTGAGTACTATAAAATCCAAGATAAGCTTTCCTGTACATAGTAACTGAGGAGGCCCTTCCTCAAACCCTTATTATGTTTTTATCAAGATTTAACTTCAAGGACGATTTGAACTATCTATTTCAAGTTGTTGAGTAGAACTGAAAACCCATCTGCTGAAGCAGTCAGTCCCCAAACTTGAACAAATTTTGCCAAATTAAGATACCTGTGGATCACCCAGAGGACAGTCTTGTAGAAGAGAGCTGGGACAGAAGTAAAGATGAGGGAGCCATCAACCAAGCCCTGAGGGGAGTTGGAATAGCAACAGAACTTTGAGGAGTTAATGGTCAGATTGATCACTCCTTCGATTCTCTATGCTTTGTTATCATGTGTCCTAAAAGTAATCAATCTCTATCCATGGTCTTTTTATGAAATTCAGTCTCGGTCTAAATGCCTCTGAACCTCAGCCCAGAAGCTCATTATGTCTTTTTCCTCACAATCAGCAGACATACCAGCTTTGTGAGTGTCTTCAGGAAAGGGGATGGCCACCCATCTTTGTGGGAGTATTTTCCTATCATATATATTTGGAATTTATCTAGAAAGGACCAAACTTCCTGTCTCCATAAGCTATGCAGTTTGAGTCAATTATGTCTCAAAAATCTGAATCCATCGTCCCTGAGTCACATTAGTTTGTGTACATGAATGTACATAAATCTCTTTGGATTGCAAATCTTGCTGTCTTCAGAATAATTCTGTCTCTTTAGAGTATCTCGAGAAATAGTGTCTGGTTTAGAGTTAACCAGTACCAAAGACGGATTTGAAACAAGAAAAATAAGAAATGTTAAATATCTTTCATATTTGTTCACTTGAAACATATTCTTTTTGAATCCACTTATTGTATCAATAATTCACTGTTTTTTTTTGCTACCAAAGAGATTATTTCCAGATGACACAAAACTTGTGTGCAACTGAGCTCCAAGTGTTTGAATTGGGGAAGAGAGTATATTATTCAAGCAGAGTCTCCTGTTTCACCTGGGTGAAGCCTTGGCTAAGTTAATAATCAGATGTCAAACCTACACAAAGCTGGTTAAATATGCATGGCTACTGATGTGGTGAAAGGGACACAGTTACCTTAAGAGCTGAGGTTTAGAGGTATCTGGACCAAGATTGAAGAAATTTCATATCACCATAGCTGGATACTGGTAATTTTTAAAATCAAATACTGTCACAACATTCTCTAGAGACTGTCTACTTTATTCTGTCTTACTGGAATCCAGGTCATCCAATTTTTGCTTGTAATGAATCAGTTTAGGTTTGGGGATCGTTTACTAAAGAGTTTTCTTTTAATGTCTACTTTGAAAAAGATTTTGAGCTAGAATTTCTTTGGAATCTCTATCAAAATGAGAGTTAATGTGGTGCTTCTTAGGGAACCTGCTTCCTACAAGAGAGTAGGAGAGCGAAGCACATGAAATGTGCCTTTCAAGTGTGATGATATGAAGGAAAACGATTACTCAAACAGGGCAACACCTACCTTAGAATAAGACGTCTGTTCCCTGGGTGTTGCTTCGTGGCAAATGACTGCTGAACTGGTTAAGCAATTTTCAGTACTGTTTGTACCAAACAGTCTGCTTACGTAAGCAGACTGTCATGTGCTTTGGAGATCAGACCCCAGGTTCTTTAGTCCTGGAGGGGCAAGTCAAGAAGCACTACACACAGCTTTATGTTCAGAACTATATCTGTGTGTGTGTGTGTCTGTGTGTATGTGATACTCTGAACTACAAAATGAAAATACCACTTAAGAGAGTCAATGAACTCATTCTGTCTAGTCCATTAATTTGACACTTGCCATAAATACCAGGTAAAGCGCGCTCCTATTAGCCTTTATTATCCCCTCAGTCAAGTACTAATCATTAGTCTTATCTTTCATTCATTAGGGAATTTGTGGCTTAATGTAATTTTTACCCCTGGCAATTTTTAGCAAAATAAAAAAAAATGAAATATAGACAAATTATTATGAATGGGCTGGTAGAAACTAAAAAGTATGTCCAACCTGAGTTATTTTTCCAGTAGAAGAGGGTAGGCTCTAGGAGCAAAGTACTTTCACATAACTATGAAACTAGATCGAATTAGGGAAAATTTTTAAAACAATTTGTAATGAAGAAAGAGAAGATACCTTTTAAAAGAAGACAGAAATTTTGGATACCAACTCCCATCTATCTATTCTCATACTGTGGTTATAGGCAACTGTCCTTTGGGGTTGAATCTAATATGTGCATGTTTCTTGCATTATTGGTTTTTAAATCTTACTTTCAAATCACAAAGTCAAAAGGAAAAATGAAGTGAATATGTCAGGACTTGTTGTTGCCAAGCTAATGGAAATGTGAAAGGTATTTCTGTACAGAGAATATTGATTGACAGTAAATGATGGTGTAAATCCCATGGTGAGTTTTTAAGACTGAAGAGTTGATGAGATCTGACCTTTGATTTGCAAATGAATAAATTGAGGTCCCAGATGGTAAACTGACTTGTCTAGGGTCACACATACAGTGTTTACCTTGGTTAAATGCTAGGCATTTTCATCGCCCCCATGTATTCCTTAAAATAATGTAATTCATTCACTTATATATCCACAGTTCATTTAACAAACATTAATTGAGCATCTATTATGTACCATACACTCTTTTAGAGTCAAAAAGGTGTTGCGACTGGTTCTTCTCTCAAAAGCCATATTCAATGACTACTGCTCTCAGCAGAGGATCCTGTTGGATTTCATGATTTTTCTAATTTTGAAGATTAAATGAGCTAGCCTTTATAAAATCTCCAAACCAATGAAGGTACTTACTGATGTTATTTCTCATTAGATTAATTATTCATTAATGGTTACATAGAATTCTGATATTGAGGCAAGAGTTGAACATAAATATGATACACACATAGTTGTATACATACATATAACTTCTTATTAAAATAAGCTAACCCAATTTCTTTTATTTCAACTCATTCTCTTGCAAGAATAAAGCTAATTCACTTGCATAACTAAAATGATTTTAATATCAAAATACCTTTATTCCAAGATGGCTGCATCCAAACTGAATGAGCCTATGTCTGGACATTTTTTAGCCTTTATGTTTCAATAAAGGTCTCACAGATGTTCAAAAAAAGACATGGAAATTCACAGAAGTTGCTTTAAAAAAAAATTCTAAAAGGCATTTAGCAAAGAGGATGCTTATGATGTTTCAAATATAATAAAGTGGGTTAATTTTGCAGTGCATTGAAAGTCACCAGAGAGATGAAAAAATATGTAGCCAGCTTTCAGCTCTGTTCTCAAAACAAGGAGGAGGTTTTTGTGCTAGATAACAAACCATCACCCTGTGAAGGAGGCCTGCAACCCACGAGTTCTTCCATGCTGCCTCTACACCTGATTACAAACATGTGGAGAAAAATCACATGAAGAAGTCTCCTAAATTATTGAACAGACAACACCACAAAGAGAAATGTTAGTAAATATAGCTAGTCTGAGCCCAATAGGTTAAAGCAAGTTGCTATTGTTTTTCTAATTTCTTTTTTTTTTCATTTATTTTTATTATTATTTTTCTAATTTGTTGATTAACACATTATTGGAATAATAATGGCAAAACACTCGTGGATTATCGAGCATAGTTCCAAATGCTTTACATGTAGTAATTCATTTAATCTTCCCAACAATCCTGTGAGGTTTATATTGTTATAATCATCTTCAATTTACAGATGAATACACTGAGGAATAGAGCAGTTAAATTGCATGAGGTCACATAACTAGTAAGTAATAAAACTGAGATTTTATGCCTGATGCCTTAATGAGTACACAATACTACTTCTATGCATGCATGCATGCATTCTAAGTCACTTCATTTATCTCTGATTCTTTGAGACTCTACAGACTGTAGCCTACCAGGGTGCTCTGACCATGGGATTCTCCAGGTAAAGATGCTGGAGTGGGTTGCCATGCCCTCCTCCAGAGGATCTTTCCGACTCAGGGATTAAATCCGCATCTCTAAGTTTACTGCATTGGCAGGTGGGTTCTTTATCACTAGCGCCACCTGGGACTACACAGATATAGTATCTACCCTTCATCTA